CTTTCGCTTCGTGATTGATATTCTAAATTGGAGGGAAGCACTTTTAAATCAAATAAAATAAATGCACATGCCCAGTAAATAGTTCAATAAGAATGACACAATGCTTGGTATAGAAAGCAAGAGTGGGGGAGGAGGGGGGGGGGGGGCTTGCACGAACATGCACCAGTTAGAATCAACGAGAATCGTATCAAACGGTCCTTTTATGGTGTAAAGAGGGGGGGGGGGACAATAGTTCAAAGCCCAGCCCGAGTCCGCCGATTACACCGAGTGTTTGCCTCAATCGGACCCGCCTGTTCATGACTCCATCGATTTCCTCCACAACCAAGGGGCGGTGACAATCACCCAGTCATTCCTACAACGGCCAACTGATTCATTTCAAACAACCCATTATAGTTTTGTGTCCTCAATTATGTCGTTGATAACGTGCGGAGCTTGTGGGTTTTTTGGGTTTTTTTTTCGACCAAAATAATGCGAATATTGCCGCCTTTTAAAAGTCGGGATTGTGGCGATGGTGGTGTAAAAACACCGTAGTAAAAAAATTACATCAAATAAATATTTTATAAATAAATAAATAAATGTATATGTATATACATAATATATGAATATAAACAGTCAGGGATGAGGTAGGAAGAAGGCGGTGGCGATGGATTGGACATACTCTCAGGAAGTCAAGCAGCTGCATAACAAAGAAATTTTTGGGTTGGAACCCACTGGGCAAGAGATCAAGGGGAAGACCTCGTGGAACCTGGAGAAGAATCACAGAAATCGATGTACAGAAAAGTGGGAATACATGGAATAACATCAAGAGGCTAGCCCAGGATAGAGAAAAGTGGAGGGTGTTTGTCCGTGGCCTATACCCTGGTGCAGGGTGAGAAAGGCAATGATGATGATGAATATATAATATTTATTTTATTATTATATTCATTTGGAGACGTGTTTATTGCAACAAGGTAACATCAAAACGATACAAAGCGCGAATGAAACTAATAATAATATAGTGGCAAACGTCGGGGTCTTTGGTGTTGCGGTAAGGTGCTTCACTGTAGCTCGCTGGAGACCTGAGTTCGAATCCCGAGTGGGGCGAATTTTTGTCGAATATCTAGGTCTTTTTGCGTGGATATTATATCTCTCCCAGTCCGGGTTGGAACTGACAGACAGGGTCTGAAGTCCACCTATTGTGTCGATGGGAATGTAAAAACGACGACATTTAGAAACACAATTAAACAATATCGAGTCTTACTATTGAAGAGTGACTCGCAACAAGACATAAACGAAACAACACACAGAGCGAATAAAATTAAAGCTGCCTCTATCACCGGCGCCTATGGTGTTGCGATTTGGCGCTTCACTGTAGCATGCAGAAGACGCGAGTTCGATTCCTTTGTCTGGGAGTTTGTTTGTTGTTGTTGTTGTTGTTAGCGATCCAGTAGCATCTGAGCGTTAACTCTTCTGCATGATGCCATTCGGTAATAGTTGCATATTTGTTCTAATTGTTGTCTTGAGGAGTAAAGGCAATTAGATGTGTGGGGTAGCTTGGGAAGAAAACATCCCCTTAAATCAGTTAGTTTTCTACAGAAGAACAGATGATGTTCCACTGTCTCTGAGGGGTAGTCACATAGGGGGCAGGCAGCACGAACGTGTAGAAAATCAATGAAAAGATCTAAAGCAGTAGTGACATTGATTGGGTTAATCGAATACATATAATAAGTTATATGTATATATTATATATATATATATGTATATATATATATATATATATATATATATATATATATATATATATATATATATAGAGAGAGAGAGAGAGAGAGAGAGAGAGAGGGAGAGAGAGAGAGAGAGAGAGAGAGAGAGATTATATATATATATATATGTATAAAGCCTAAAATTTTCGAAACCACTTAGCGTTCGAATCTGAAATAAATAAAGGTGGTTCAGAATCATTTAAAGAGTGCACAGTTATATTAAAGAGTCTGAAGTCACTGCAGTTTAATGTTCAGTTTTTCATTAGTTTCGTTTAGATCTAATCTTGGGAAAGTCCATCTATTAAGACGCCCTTGTAAACAAGTGAGGTTTCCGTTCTCAAGCAGTGCGCACTGTTCCACAATGACTTGACGATCGATTCTTTGAGTCCGTTCATCGAACGGGTACCCAGCAGCTAGTATAAAACATAAATGTCAGTGCCAACCCGGACTGAGAGGAATACAACATCCCAGCAAACAGGTGGATGTTGGTGTCAAATTGGGAGCAAAGGGAACGGACGCAGTGAAACGTGAACGGGCAAACAGAGAGGCCACTCCATGGCCTAATTAATAACTCTTTGATGTATCCTGTATCCGGAGCCTCCTCTTTGCTGTAATGTTTTTCTTGGTCACTTCAGTTGGGGCAAGGGTGGGGGAATTGGAGTAGAGTGTTTGGGAGGGGGAGGGGGTGGGTCTTTGGGACATTGGGTGTAAAGGAGATGTGGACAAGAAACTGCCTCACATACAATTCTGATCTATTTTTAAGTTGGTGTTTTTACGCTCCCATCGACACAATTTTGACCATATAGGAGACGGGCTTCTGACCCTGCCTGTCAGGGCCAACTTGGGTTTGAGAGGAAAACATCCAAGCAGAAAGACCGAGATACTCGATTTAACGATTTCATAAAACCTTTTCCACTCGGGAATCGAATTCGGGCCTCACTCTGTCACACATAGGCAGAAATTTTGTAATAGAAAGATTGAAAGATAGCATAGCTTACTACTGAGAAAAACAGCAACAACAAAATAACACAAGAACAAAATGTTTATCGAGCCTGCTCAAACGACCACCACTTCTCACCCCCCCCCCCCCCGCCCCCAATATTATTCATGTTTCTTTCTGAATGTCTTGGTTTTTTGTTCTTGCTAAATGGTCGCTTTTGGTCGACGTGCCTTTCTTCACTTCACCGTTACTCTCAACTTGAAATGGAAACTTAACAAAACTCATTATAAGCCTACCGGCATCTGTGGTGTAACAGTTACTAACGTAATTGTCGTCGTAAGCGAAAGTCGTAGGTTCGATTCCTGTGCGGTGAGGTAAATATTGCTTGTTTGTTTTTTCGAGTCCCGTCTGTCTGCTGGGGTGTTGTATCCTCTTAGTCCGGGCTGGCCCTGATACAGCCTGCCTCTTAAATTGAGTCAAAGAATTCAATTCAAGTTTTACGTCGCTCGCAACTGCTAAGGTCATATCAGCGCGCGAAACACAAGTTGTTCACCTCTGCGAAAGTTCACTTCACGACTGGCTAACTAATTTACTTTAAAATGTTAAAAAGTTAAAATATTCAAATTCGAGCAATGGTATGTACAGTGATAGTTTTGAAAGAATATCAACATTGACGAGTCATCTCATTATAATGGAGCTAAGCCCGTTTGTGGGGTCAGTAAAAACTTTTTACACAGGTGCCCATAAAATCTACAAAAATATGATTCAGACAAGAATTGTCCCAAAGGGTTACGTGGGCATATTTTCAAAGTTTGGAAACTACCTTTTGATTTTTCAGGTTTAATGGTTTTTCCTGTAAATCGAAGCTCCCGGATGTTTTCACTCTAGGCTACCTTTAGCCATTTCATATTTTACTGGGGACTACTTCTGTTTCGGTCCCAAGCTTTGTTGTGTGTGTGAGTAGTTCGCAAGAACAGAAGTGCGGTTTCTGCTTTGTAGTGTGTGCTACAGAGTTGTACTTTTTTGAAGTAGTTAACACAGACACAAGTGCGGTTTGTGTTTTGTCGTGTTTGTGCGACAGATTTGTACATTTTGCAGTAGTTAGCAAGAACAAAAGCACCGTTTGTGTTTTGTCGTGTGTGTATGCCACATAGTTCTATTTCAGCTGCTTCTATTGGCCCATGGAATATTAGTTAATAAAGTTAATAATGCTGTAAGATGCCCCTTAAACGTAGAGTTTGTTTAACCCCACGAAACAGAGGTGAAAGCGAGAGGAAACGGAGAAAGGCGACTGTCAAACAGAATTTTCGTTCTAATAGTCAGAATCTGGAGGAAGACATTGAGCGTGCTAGGCCAAGAAAGAATGGGCCAACGTTTGTCATAGCGTGCAACGCACAGTCGTTTAGTGAAACTGAAGCTGACCGAAAATTACGGACACATGACTGTGGTGAATTCAGTGTTGTCTGTGACATTGCAATGCCATAAGATGGAGAGAAGAGAGAAATACATTCTGCTGTCAAAATGGAAAGGTTAGTATACCTGTACCTCCCCCACCTCCTCGGGAATTAATAAATTATTACGATGTAGCACAGAGCAGCAGCTCTTTCTTACCACACTGTAGGTCATACAATAATGCTCTCGCCCTGGCTTCAATTGGGTGCAGTGAACAAGCTGAAAAGGGCTTCAATCTTACCTTCAAAATCCAGGGCAAGCCGTACCACCGATTAGGAAATCTTCTTCCCACTGCTGGAACTGAGCCAAAGTTGCACATATTTTTTCATGACTCTGCCACAGAACTTCAGGATAGGCTGAGACTGTCACATATTTTACGGTCAGACATTTTGAATGAACTTCAACCTGAGAGAGAAGGCGAGTCAATAGTACCCAAAGTTTAATGAAGAACAAAGAGTCGTGTATGAGGCTGTGGTAAAGTCAGTTGTACAGAAGCAAAGCAAGATATTTGCCGTGGAAACAAGTGGAGGGACTGGTCAACCCACTCTACATGTATAAACCTGATTCTTGCGGGTGTACGTTCCTTTAAGAAGATCGCCCTTGCTACAGCTCTGTCAGACATTGCAGCAACTCTGCTTTCAAATGGCAAAACATTACACAGCAGATGCAAAATACCCCTGAGTGTGAACGAACAGTCCATGTGCAGTGTGAGTCTCCAAGATGCCAGTGACACTTTATTACGCAAAACGGAGCTGCTCATCATTGATGAAGTATCGATGAGCCACAAACACATCTTTGAAGCCATAGACTGAACACTTCAAGACATATGTGGGAATAACTGTCTGTTCGGTGGGCTAAATGTGCTGATGTCAGATGACTGGCACCAAGTACAACCAGTAGTTCGCCATGGCTCAAGACCACAGATAGTCAATGCAACGCTGAAATCATCATATCTGTGGGAGCATGTTTATGTGCTCAGACTGACAAGAAACATGAGGGTTTTGCTTACAGGTGAGACTGCTGATTTCTCCAACTATCTACTGAACATTGGTGATGACAAACACAACGTATGCAAGCAAATCGGGGAGTTTGCGATAAAACTGCCAGATGACATCACAGTAAAGAGCGAACAAGAGTTGATAAATTTTGTCTTCGGTAATTTGCAGTCTAACACAAATCCTGACTGGCTGGCTTCCCGCTGCATCATCTGTCCCTCCAACACAGAAGTAGACAGAATCAACAACCTGATCATGCAGTCCTTTCCCAGAGAAGAAAAAGTCTACAGGAGCAGTGATTCGGTGGAAGAAAATGAACACCAATACCCCATCGAATTTATCAATTCTCTTTGTCCGTCAGGTATGCCACCTCACAAACTGACATTGCGGAAAGACAGCATTGTCATGTTGCTGAGAAATCTGGATCCCACAAACAGCCACTGCAACGGGACTCGATATGTGGTTCAACACCTTCATCAACATGTGATTGATGCTGTCGTTGCTGGCGGTCCACATGCCGGAAAGAGACTTTTCATCCCAAGAATTCCGCTCATGCCTTCAGACAACATAATATTTCCCTTCCATATGCGACGGAAACAATTTCGGTTAGACCTGCTTTTGCAATGACTGCCAACAAAGCCCAGGGACAGACTTTGAAAAGGATAGGGGTTTCTTTACAGGGAGATTTTTTCCCATGGACAATTATATGTCGCAAAGAGTTGTGTTGGGTCCAGGGAATCTATAAGGATACATGAATGCAAACAGACCTGCTGCCCAGGACGGAGTTCCAGATGGCGCATATACCAGCAATGTTGTCTACACAGAGGTCCTACGGCAATGAATCAGGTACCTGTGTAAACATTTTATCTAGGGCTTTTCTATCACTATATCATAGTTCGTAGAACGGGTATGTGTCTAGTTTCTATAATGTAACGTCTTGGAGTGTGGGCCATATTATTATACAGTCGGACCAACTAAATTGTATCGAGGGAGACGAATAGTGTCTACAATAGCAATTTCCCCAATGTCACTCTTAGCTGAGGAAAGAGAAGGGTATGCCCACGGTGGCCGCAGAAGACACGCGAACTGTGAGGTTCTCTAGCTTTTGCTGAAAAAACAAACAACCAAAACAAAAAACAAAGCAAACCCCCCCCCCAAAAAAAAACCTCCAAAAAAAGAAACTTACTAATAAAATAAGTTGGAAGGTTAACACCAGACAGTTTGGGACAATTCACTTTCTTCACAGCGCCGTGTGGCAGGAGCGTAAAGAACACAATGATCCACAAGACATACACTCAAAGGCCTTCTGAATAAACTGTTAATACACTAGGCACTGCACACATTCCTCGCGTGAGTTACGTTTTGGCCAGATCGTGCATCATACATCATTGGGTCTGGCAGCGAGTGAAGGATTGACTCTCTTTGTGCTTGTATCGATATTACTTACATTAAAACCAGTCCATTAGAATACAAAGCTCAGATTATATTATATAGTGGGAATAATGTGCACAAGAGGCAAGTACTTATCGTTAAGTGGTACCATTCAGAGTCAATTCTGGACAGAAAGTTCAACGAAAGAATTAATATTAACGAGACAACCGTGTTCAGCGTTCATAGTACTGCAGTGAAAGGATTAATGTTTTTCTATTTTAAAAAAAAGAAGTCTAAGCTATTTGTTTCAGCTCTGTTCAAGGAAGCAATGCACTGTGTGTCTAGATAGCTTAATTTCGGCCTAGTTTTTTCTTCGGATTTAATGTTTTCTGGATTTGTGGTATTTCTGAAGCATATAGTGGCTAAGTGACAATATGATAACCTTGAGCTATGTACAGTGTTTGTAATGCAATAATATCAACATTGGCCAATTAGATCTATTATCATAAGGTAAAGTCTTGAGGTGTGGTGTGGACGAAATTCAGCCAAACCTACTATAACGGCCACCTGTATAACACGGCCACCTGTACAAACAACTTCTTTCGATCCCCCCCCCTCCCTTTTGGGTTTCTTCTACATAATTTCGCTGAGCAAAACGGTCACCAGTCCAAATCGACCAAACCCACCTTATTTTGTCAACCAACAACCAAAAAATGCCTTTCTAAGATGGCCACGCCAATCTCTCATCACCCGGCATCGTATTATAAATAATGTATTTGGCCCCTGACGCTGTTTATGAGCCGCCATAGTTCATTCACCTGTCGTTATTGTTAGCCCCTCCAATGAATGAACCTATCATGTTGCAATGTTTTACCCAAGTCGGCCAATCGGTAACAATACATTTTCAGCTGCAAGTGAGGGAAGCGTGTAAAGGAATTCCGTAACGACCGACCACTATGAAATAGAGTATAGAAAAGAGGGTTATAGTTCAGGCTATGGTTAGGGAGTTAGGGTTACGGTTTGGGTTAGGTTTAGGGGTAGGGATGTGGGTAGGGCAAGGACTTCTGTTACGAGCAACCACCTCAACAAACACAATAAAGAAACCCATCCCTAACCCTACCCCTACCCCTACCCCAAACCTAAACCTTACCCCTACCCCTACCCCTACCCCTACCCCTACCCCCAACCCTACCTCTACCCCTAACCCTATCCCTACCCCTGCCCCTACCCCTCTGTTCTACTCTGTCCCAAAGCGGAGAATCGTTACGGAAGTCCTCCCGGGGTGGGGGTATGGGTAGGGTCAGGTCTCTTTTTTATTATTCTGTTTGTTGGGGTGGTTGCTCGTTTCAGAAGTCCTTCCCAGGTTTCACTCCATTTTTATAAACAAATTACGGTTTCGTGCAAAGTTGAAACGTGTTCTTTGTGAGGTTCAAAACGGGGCACAAAACCCATCCTGTCAAAGAGAAAATTCCTATACAGTTTTCCGAAGGCAAAAGGCACCGAGACTTGCAGGATTTACGGTTTTTTGTAGTCGATTTTTTTTAACATTCTTGAAGAATATAGATCTACCTATGTTGTAGTTTTTGTGCTAGAGGCTTCACCGTGAGTGCTAGGGGGAGGGGGAGAGTGGGTGGTAAAATAAATAAATTTTGAAAAACTTCTGTCACATTTCTACTGTCAGCTGTTGTTGACTGCGTGAGTGCTGAACCTATACAGAAAATATTCTAGTCGAAGAACATTGTCAATGTCAGCATGGTGTTGTGGTGTTCGTTGGGGGAATGAATGTGATAAGCTGAAGATCGTATACTTTGGCAGGTCCTTGGATGTTAACCAACCCCTGAGCTAAAGCCGAAGAACCACAACCCGGCGAAGTTCATCTGTTCGCTGTGAGTACATTAGGTTTACATCATCTTTATTGTAGAGGAAAAAATATATTATGTAGATCTAAATCTACAAGTATTTTTGTCAGTCGGTCTTCAGAATCTAGACCTAGTGTTTTGTTGTCGTTCTCTCAATTTAGATCTAAGTTTAGTGCGAGCAGTGGTTTATCACCAAGCGATCTACTACAGCGAGGAGCTCTTTCTCCCCCTCACCCCCTGGTCTCTTTTTCTTCCCCCCCCTCCTCTCTCTCTCT